GAGCAGTCAGCAGAGAGCCTGATGTGGGGCTCAAACCCATGAACCATGAGATCATGACCTGAGCTGAAGTCAGACACTCAACCAACTGAGCCACCCAGGCGCCCCTCAAATAATTCTTGTGTGCAGCCAAATCTACAAATTGTCTCCTAGATAAGAATTGGGACTTTTCATTTGTCCCCACCAGGGTGTGGCACGGTGCTCAGCCATAGCTGGTCTATGATAAATATCTGTATAATGAATGAAATCTAGTAAAACAAATCTGGGGACTGGGTGTATATATTCAATTCCAGCAGCAGCACCCAGAAAAACTGCTTCCTGGAATAGAATGCAAATATGCACTGGGCAGCTTTTCAAGTATGTTTTTTAATCCACCAGTGCCCCCTACTGACCTGAAGATGGATAACTAAATCAAAACAATAGTTGCAGTTTAAATATTTTAATTGCACATGCACATAACTAGTCACACACACACACACACACACACACAGAGTACTTTTTCCACCAGCACCTATACTATCAATCCCTTTCCCCTCCAGTCCTGGCTGCCCCAAGCTGATAACTCTCAAACCCAGGTCAATCCTACCACTTCCAGGCGGCAGTCATGATAGAGCTCGCGAAGCCGGCGCTCAGCAGAAGCATCAAGGCCTCTTCCTGATCTCTTTTGTTCCTTGGTCCCTGTCTCTTCCAAATCCCACCACATTCATAAAACCACTCACCTCTGGAAAACACAAGAAACCATTCATCTACCAATCTGCGACACTTCATGCTATTCAAAGTATGATGGGGGACCAGCAGCATCTATACCATCCAGAAGCGTGTTAAAAAAAAAGGGAGACTCTGAGGTCCCCACCTTGGATCTACCAAATGAGAGCTGCACGTACATTAAATTTTGAGAGGCACTGGTTCTCACCTTCCTCAACTCCTAAACCTAACATCGCCATTTTACGACAACTATTTTTCTAAGTGACTGTTTTGCTATCTTGAAACAAAATTCATCACCCATTACACGCATAAATCCCAAAAAAGAGATGCCAGTATCCTGATTTGATGGTAACATGATAGGGAACAAAAGGAGAAGATTTATAATAAGAATTATATTTCAGGATATAAATATTCAACACAACTAAATTAAAGACGTGCAGAACAATCCAAGTTCCCAAAATGTATCCCAAACGTGTGGTACTGTCCAGCCGCGAACCACTGGCTTACCATCACTCCCACCCTCTTCCTTCCACCTCACAGGAGGAAGATGACATCTTTCCTCTTTTTTGAAGCCGAGGGATTCTCTATCTTAGAAAAGCCTGGGTGGCTCAGTCGGTTAAGGATCCGACTTCGGCTCAGGTCATGATCTTGCAGTTTGTGAATTTGAGCCCCGTGTCAAGCTGTATTGACAACGCAGAGCCTGGAGCCTGCTTCACATTCTGTGTCTCCCTCTCTCTCTGCCCCTCTCCCGCTCATGCTCGCGCTCTCTCTCAAAAATAAACATTAAAATTTTTTAAATGTATATATTAAAAAAGCCTCCTCCCTACATTCCTCTAAGGCCACTGTCAAATCATAAATACGGGAACAACCACAAAAACAACTCTATAATCTTGACCCAACAGGCCTCTCTAGTTACCTACCATATTCCTCTCTCTTTCCCTTGAAGGAGAAAATCAAATCTATCAATCCCACCACCAAGGTGTCCGTTTATTCATGTCTCAGTCCCCAGCCCACATTAATATAGCTTTCACTTCCATCAGGAAACCCACATGTAGAAAGGTCATGGAAGCTCCCCAAATTGCCCAAATTAACACTCCGCCGCATTCATCTAGCTTCTCTCTCTGTAATGGATTATTGTTGGTTGCACATGCAAACTCCATTCCCCGCTGTGTTCATAAATTCATTTTTCTCCCAGGTGGTTAAGATACATGGACCCCATTCTTGGTTGATTCTGCTAGTCCCAGACCATCGGAGCATGGCATTGCCCTGGTTCTGGCTATCAGGTGAGGGGCAGACATGTGACTGAAGTTGGTCCAATCAGACTGAAGGAAGAGCGTAATCCCAGCGTGGGAGCTGTGCCCTCTCCCTTGCTCTAGTGAACGAGAAAACATGTGCTACCACTGCCAGTTATGCTGCAACCATAAGGGAAACCAGTCTGACGATGGAAAGCCAAGAAAAGGACCAGGTCCTTGATGACACCGGTGACCCACTGGAGTCCACCCATCCTCCAGACTTTGTGAGAGAATTCTCCTTACTATTGAAGCAACCGGGTTTTCCCCAGCTGAAAGCGTCCTAACAGTCTGTCCATGAAACTTTTTGTCCCTTGATTTTCTAAACCCTTTTGTACACCTACTTATCAGAAGCTGCTTCTCGAACATTTCTAGCCTCCCCTCTTCCTCTGCCTATTCATAAGGAATAGATGTCTGCCGAGGTATGTTGTGATCTTTTCTATTCAAACTACATGTTTGAACAATTGAAGCTGAGCTACACCAGCACTTCCCGAAGCAGTACCCCTGCCGATGGTCCCCAGATCATTCACCTGAGGAACTCCTACTTGGCTTTCAAAACTAAACATAAAAGTCTCCTCTGTGAAGCATGTCATCAAGTCCCCAGTGGTTCTTTGCCCTTTTTGTGCCACAGATCTCTCTGGCAGTCTGGTGAGCCCTATAGACTCCTTCTCTTTTTTTTTTTTTTTTTTTTTAAATTTTTTAATGTTTTATTTATGTCTAGGAGAGAGAGAGAGAGACAGCGTGAGCAGGGGAGGGTCAGAGAGAGAGGGAGTCACAGACTGAAACAGGCTCCAGGCTCTGAGCTGGCAGTCAGCACTGAGCCCGACGCGGGGCTCGAACCCACGAACCGCGAGATCATGACCTGAGCGAAAGTCGGACGCTTAACCGACTAAGCCACCCAGGCGCCCCTATATAGACTCCTTCTCAAAATAAAGCTTCTAACGGCGTAAAATGCCAACTATACTTCAACAGTTGTAAAACCAGTTCTAAAACCCCAAATCGGATATAGTAATATACGCTTATTAGCTCATTCAACAAAAAGACTTAACAGTGAGTCTTATAACTACTGTTAATTTTGAAGTTGTGACAATCATAAATGATACCTTGAGATCTGCAATAACTGTGCTCTGAGAATGTCTATGATATATATTGGTCCTGTGACTCCTATTGATGCTAGGTATTGCTAATACTAGTGTGCTTTACTGCTGTACTAGCTTATTAATCACTCCCAATGAACCACACCTCCTCATAGCCAGACTCTTGTATAGTGTCCCTATAGTGACTCTGGGCTTGGTCATGTGACTTGTTTGGACATCAGCATATGTGATGCAAGCAGGTAAGCATTTGCACAATCAGACTTGCCCTCTTGGAATCCAGTAACCATGTGAGGAAGTCCAAGGTAGGCACAACGGCAATAAGGGCCACCTTACAGTCTGGCCCCCAGCTGAATTCAGCCAATGGGGGATGCCAGCAGAACTGCCCCGGCAAACCCACTGACGGTGACATATAACAAATCATTATAGTTTTAAGGCACTGGTTTGCAATGGCTTGTTACCTAAGCAATAGCAAACTGATAGTTACCTACACTGTAACTGAAGGAAATGCTACATTTCAGTTGGCAACTGGTGAAAATAAAGTTTTTTCACATCAGGGTTTAGGGACTTATTCTCTCTACAGACCCTCGGAGGGGCTGAAGACCACAGGTTAAGAACCCTTGGTGCAGAGGGGAACCCCTGACACACAGGAGATCCTGCTCTCCTTTCTACTACCACAGTACATTGTTGATACCCATATAAACCGATCACAGCACATCCTGTGTTGTTGCAACCCTAAAATTAAGCTGAACTCCTTGCACGTAATAGGTGTTCAACAGAAATTTATCAAATGAATGTAAATTGCTTATGGGATCTGTCACAGTAACTAAACTGTGAGCTGCCTGAAAACAAACTAAAAGCCAATACTTAGATGGCACTTCTATATGCGGAAGACTCATCCGAGTGCTTTAAACATACTTACTTATTCCTTATAACAAGCCTGTGAAGTATACGCTATTCCCCCAATTTTACAGAGGAAAACAGGCACAGAAAGGTTAAGAAATGTGCCCAAGGTCACCCAGCTGAAGGCTGAATCCATGTTCTGATTTTATAGCCTGTCCTAATGCGCCCAAAGCCCACTGAAGAAGCACAATAAAACTTGTAAATAAATTTAAATAAAACTTTAAATGAGTAGTACAATTATGAGATTTCATTAGCACTATTTTACAGGTCCTGTGCTTCTTGAGGACTCAATTTTGTAGACTAATTTCTGGTAGCTTATGATTTGTTTCTCACGATAAAAAACATCATTTACTTTTTTAAAAATAGAATAATGGCTTCAAGTTAAAATGCAGATTTTTGAAACAAAGCCTTCACTGTGAAAGGCGATCTCTTTCAAAGGACATGAGCTTGTAAAATGGAAAAATGGGGGGCAACTTGTCTGTACCACATACTGTTCACTTGGGAGGGGAACAAAGTCGCAGCTTCCCCCCCTTCCAACCATTCCTACATTCCCATACCATCTTGCCCAAATCCAGCAGCAGCTTTTCCGAAGGTGACCCTCCCCCATTCACACATCAGGTTCTGAAACCTGATCCTGCCAGGCAACCAAAGCCGAACCCCGCAGAGCCCTGAGCTGGCCTCTCCTTCACCACGAACCCGAGGGCACCGTCGAGGGTGTGTGTGTGAATACTTTGGGGTGGGGGCACTTTAACTTTTCAAAGTGTTTTATTCACCAGAGCAAGACCTACAGGGCCACCCGCCCACCCCGGGATCTCACGCCTCCGCCCAGGAACCTCTCGCTCCTAGCTGAGCGGTGAAAGAACCATTGGGTCGGGACGCAGCTGGCCCAGAGGCGGGAAAAGCCTCCGGGCTAGCCGGCCCTGGCCCCCGGAGAGGCCCACGAGAGCGCGGACAGGGCTCCACGAGGCCGGGAGAGGGCGGTGACAGCTGTGACCCGGCTCCACACTCTCACCTTGAACATGTTGCTGGCAGAGGTGGCTCCCGCGGGGTCACCCCGGGCTCGGCCCCGCCCACTACAGAGAGGTGGCTACGGCGGCCGGGTGGGGCCCTGATTCCTCTGACCTCAAGCGGGCCGCGGTGCGGGTGACTGCCGTACAGCCAATTCGATCGCGCGAAAGCTTAGTTCGGAAGCCTGGTCTGGGAGCCGCGTCGCCGAGGTGCAGCGTGTCGTTCCTCAGACAGCCTGGGAACGCAAGCCCCGCCTCCCGGAGGCTCCGCCCCTGCGCCGACCGTTGCTAGGCGGCAGGAAAGCGCCCGCTCAGTGTGGGCGGTGTGCGGGGGCGCGAGGAGGGAGGTGCCCGGCGCCGCGCCGCTCTGGGAATCGGCCTTCGCGTCAGCGATTGGACGCCCAGCGACTTGGGCTGGGAATCCTGTGCTCCGAGGACGCCTGGCGGGGGCGCTCGTCCGGTATCGGGAGGCTTCGAAAGTCTCACTGCCGGAAGCAGCCGACCTCTGGGGCCTGGATTTATCTCACAAAAGGTTTTCAGATTTTTTTTTTTTTTTTACCGTGGGATGGAAGTTCCTAAGGTTTTAAATTTAATCTAATTTGCCATGTCCTTTACTCTCGAAAGGCCCTGGCTTTTTTTCCCTTTAAATTACTTAACATATGCCTGTCACTGGGAATCAAATGTCCCTTAGTACTACTAGAAATAGAATAATTATTTTATTAACAAGAATAGCAAATCCTAATGTAGTGTTTACTATGTGCTCAGCTCTGATCTAAGCTCCTTACACCTATTCATGTAATATTTCCAACAATCCAGGTAGGTGAGCATTATTATTCCCAGTTTTGTAGATGAGGAAACGGAGGCCACAGAGAAGTAATTTGTACAAGGCCACACAGAAAAAGTGGGAACCCAGCATCCAAACCTAGGTAGTTTTTCAGTGCCTTTAAAGCCTGTGATCTCACCTAAATCATTGTTATAGCGTCTCATAATTGGGGTTTCATATTTCAATCTGTATGATGCTTCCTCACCCCGTACAAAGTGTAAATTCATCCAGGCGGCATCTGGCAGATTTTTGTGGTTTGTGTGGTTGGCATGTCACTGCCTTCCAGCCCAAGACCAAAGACAAGTGTTCAGCCACTTGTAATTGAACAAGTTGAGTATACGTCTCATTGCTGTGAGGAAAACTCGCATCATCTTGGCACAATGGAGCTTCTCAGTAAGGGAGTGCTAGAAAGACATATAGTAAGATTTGGGGTTTAGTTGGGTGATATGGGAGCAAATTCAAGTAAGCCTGGCTTTGCTCTGGGTTGGGTGGTGTCAGGAAGCCAGGGTAACACCAAAGCCCAGCTGTGAGTGCCAGTCTAACTCTCAGATGTTATGGGCTGATTTTCTCTTGGTCAGGAGAATTGTATACTCAAAGCCATCCCCATCCGTATCCCTAAAGACAAATATTGAGAAGACTCTGAAGGCTCTGCATCGGTGATGGAATGTCGCATGCATATAAAAGTGTGAAGTATAGTGATAAATCAGGGCAGGAGTTCTCAATTCAGGGGATGTATGAACTTAGATGGGAAAGAAATTACAACTTTATTTTCACTCATCTGTAACAGAACTGTAGCGTTTCTTTCAATTATAGTGTAGGCAATAAAGCACAATCGTATCAGCGGTACCTGCGACTTTGTCACCAGTAGAAAGCACAGATGTTTTCATATAATGTTACAGTCATGGTGGACATCTTGACATACCATTTCTGCTCCTCACCACTTTACAAGTACAGTAGTTTTTAGAACTCTCATTGTATTTAATGCATAAAGAGAACAAATTCTTATAATTTTGATTTTGAAAATATTTTGACGGTGATTTCAATATAATTGAGTCCTTTGTGATCCTATGTATTTTATGTTATGCATTTATAAAACATAATTCGTCAGGGTGCCTGGGAGGCTCAGTCAGTTAAGCATCTGACTCTGGATTTCGGCTCAGGTGATGATTTCACGGTTCGTGCGTTCGAGCCCCGTGCACAAAGACTGCTTGGGATTCTCTCTCTCTCTCCCTCTCTTTCTGCTCCTCCCCAACATGTGCACACACACTCTCTCTCTATAAATAAACTTCAAAAAATAAATAACATAATTCTTAGAAGGAGTCTGTCCAGGGGTGCCTGGGTTGCACAGTCAGTTAAGTATCTGACTCTTGATTTTGACTTAGGTCATGATCTCAGAGTTGTGGGATGAAGCCTGCTTGAAATTCTCTCTGTCTCCCTCTGCCCCTCTCCCCAATTCATGTTCTCTCTCTCTCTTAAAAAAAAAAAAAAAAAGAGTCTGTCCACATGGGTCCATGGCACCAAAAGAAAAGATAAAGAGGCCCTGCTTTAGTAGAAGAGACTAAGCAGTGACTTAGAATTTGGGAACTGCATCCAAACTGGAGTAATGTGTCAAAGGTGGAAAACCAAAGGTGGAATCAGTTCATTTAGTACACAGCCTCTCACTTTACCATGGAGGGAGCTGAGCTACAGAGAGGTTAAGGAACTTGCCCAAAGTCTCACAGCTATTCCATGATAAAATCAGGACGGAAAGTTCTTAGACATGCGTGTAAAAACCTTCCACTCTCACTAGGCATGGGAGACTCCGTAGTTAGCAAGATGCCTCCGACCCTCAACGAGCTTATTGGGGTGACAGCCAAGAAAACAAATTATGATGCAATATGAGAAGTACCGTAAAAGAAAAACACGCACGGTATTGTGGGACGTTGGAGACAGGGTGAGCAGTTGTATGAAAAAGAGCACTTCAGAGAAGAGGCATCAATTAGCTGGGGTCTTGAAGCCTGAGTTGATGTTTGCTGGTGGTAGAGAAATCACTCCAGGGAGAGGAAATGGCATGATCACTGGTACAGGTGTGTAAAACATTGACTGATTTTGGCAACAAGTTCTTGCTCTCACAGTCTGGAGAGGAATGCTGATGAAAGTTGGTATTTTGATATTTGAGAGAGTAGACAGTACACTGAGAAAAGCCTGGAACACTATTCTAAAGAGTCTGGACTTCAGTGTGGAGGAAATGAAGTGTCCCTGAAAGATTCTAAGTTAGGGAGTGAGAAGGCTAGTTTACTGTAAGGTCTACAGAATTAACTCAGCTGCAATGTGGAGAGGGACTAGCTGGACGCACAGACTGGAGACTGAGAGTCTAGTTAGAAGGCTATGGATAGATCTGCTTGTCTTTTCCATGTACCTCAGAATATTTTTAGTGCATAAAGCATGTAAACTGTGAGCAACATTAAGAGATCCATGTTGCCTTTCTTTTTGTAAAGGGCTCTGGAATTAGCCCAGCAATCATATGGCCGTTGAGTTTTGTCCAAACAGTGCAATAATATAGATTATGACCTCAAATGCTGAATCTGTGTACTTTCAGAGTACTTCTTCATAGGAAAATGAAGCGCTTGAAGCACTTCTCAAAGGCATCAGTGACTGATGTTCCGAAACCAGATAAGCCAGGCTCAGGAAAAGACCACAAAGTGCATTTGCCAAATACTGTAAAGGGAAAGGAACTACAACAGTAAGTAGCCATCTTTCGCCCTTTGTCATTTTCCACAACGGGTCAGTTTCCATACGGTATTTACGGTATTTACCCAGCTAACATCAAACACTTCTTGTTTTGTAAATTAGAGGGTTTTTTGTCTGTTTTAAAATTACTTTTGAATTGAATAGTAATTATTATAATTATAGTATTTCATAATTTGCAAAGCATGTTAACACACATTTCTTTGATCCTGACAACTCTGTGAAGCAGTCTTATTATTACATTTTATAAGTGAGGAAGCAGCCACTGGGAGAAGGTAAGTGATTTGCATAAGGTTAAACAGCTAATGAATGGCATCAGCAAGGATTTAAAGCTTTGTTTCCATACTCCAGGCCTTCTCTACTCTGTCTTATAGTCTGCATTTGCCAGCTACTGGTGACATTATATAAGAGTACCTATCTCTCTTTGCATGCAGCCTTATGAGGGGTAATGACGGAATTGGGGGGGGGGGTTGGAAAGGGTGATCCCTACAATTCACTAGTGCTGATGCATGATCAAAAGTAAAATAATTCTGTGACCTGACTGGGATGAGCCTGGTTCAAGCGAAGATCAGAGAAGGGAGTTTCTTTTTTTAGGGCATAGTTGTCTGTTCCCAGAAGAAAATTAGACCTACTATAACTTTGAGTATTCTACATGCTCTTTTCATAGCACTTGGACTAGTCAGACAGTGTTTTAAAGAACTAACTGTTATTAAACAGTTAATGGAATCATTTTAGGTTATGGATGTTTCTAGAAAGCAGGTTTGTCCCTTCACACGTTTTTATTTATAATATATATGCCTTTTGCTGATAAAGCTTTAGCTGGGGCTTTTTTTTATATCTCAAGGGAGATATTCTCAAATATTTTATATCCTCATTCTGACTAGATCTGCAAATGACCACATCCAAATGTTCCTCATTAGGTCAGTGGGGGATGGGAGAGTGCAGGGGGAAAAAGCATAAATTCAGAGTTCCCCAAGATTTTAGGAAAATGAAAACTACTTCACTCACCTTAACTTCTTTTTGTCCCTCTCAGAACTAAAAAGGATATTTCAGCCCAAAGGATACAGAGAGCCTGGTTATCTTATATGGACAAAACAATATTTCACCTCCTAAAGCACACAATTCGTGCAGCAGTATGTATTTTGCTTTTTGTTTTCTCTGGCAGATTTAATTACTTATAAGCCTAAAGGTCTGTTAAGTAAAGATAGAACATGGAACCTTTTTTTAAATCTCTTCTTTTTGAATCTAATAATAATGCATGCGGTTCTAGGATTGTCCCAAACGAACATTTCTGGATTTATTTGTAAATGACGTGGGTGCCTATCATTTCTTTTTCTGAAACCAAAATAAGATCATTAAAAACTTTCAATTTCTTACATGAAGATGCAGGCTGGTGATCATCAACAAGAAAAATCGCTCAATTAAAAGTGCCCTTACCAGGGCTCCTGGATGGCTCAGTTGGTTAAGCGTCTGACTTTGGCTCAGGTCATGATCTCACGGTTTGTGGGTTCGAGCCCCGAGTCGGGCTCTGTGCTGAAAGCTAGCTAAGAGCCTGGAGCCTGCTTCAGATTCTGTGTCTCCCTCTCTCTCTGACCCTCCTCTGCTCATGCTCTCTTTCTCTCTCAGAAATAAATGAAACATTAAAATTTTTTTAAATAAATAAATAAAATAAAAGTGCCCTTGGGGCGCCTGGGTGGCTTAGTCGGTTTAGCTTCTGACTTTCGCTTGGTTCATGATCTCACGGTTTGTGGGTTCGAGCCCTGCGTCGGGCTCTGTGCTGACTGCCAGTTCAGAGCCTGGAGCCTGTTTCAGTCTGTGACTCCCTCTCTCTCTCTGACCCTCCCCTGCTCACGCTGTCTCTCTCTCTCTCTCTCCTAAAAATAAAAATTAAAAAAAAAAAAGTGCCCTTACCTTCCACCCAGCAATTTCACTTCTAGGAATCCATTCTACAACATATGTTCCATTTCATCGCAGTATTGTTTGTAACAGCAAAGAAAGTAAACCAAATAATGTCCACCTATGGGATGCTGGTTAAATAAGCAGTGGTGCTTTCACAGTGTTAAACGTAGCAGCCTTGCATGTGATTCTGTGATATAAACAAAGGTAGCCAGGATGGCTTATGTGAGAAAAGGCAAGTGCAGGACAGTATGAGTAATATGGTCCTATTTAAGAAAAAAGCAAAAGCAAAAACAAAAACACCCCAAAAGTGGATACCCCCGCCCCCACTCTCCCAAAGAACAACTCTGGCAATGCCAGCAGAGTATTAAGCTCTCCTTCATACAGTACCAAGTATTCTAAGCATCTCACCCCTGATTACAATAGTCTATAATTAGTAATAGTCACATTAAGGGAATTTTAGCAGCTCTGAGCAGTTTGTACACTTCTTCACCATCTGACCCACAGACCCATTTCTGATGCCAGTAAAAGCAGAATCCCTCAGAGAAAACCCACTCAAGTAAACGGGTACCATTTCAGGTCCATTACCCATTCATTGTCTTCACATACGGAACTTGCATTTAACTATCATAATACTGGTTTTGGTATCACTTTAGACTCTTAGAGTGACAGAAAGAAGGAAATTAATTCTTTTTTTAAAAGTCTGTTATCCTGACATTTCAAGTTCCTACCTTGCATTAATAATGCTTTGTCATTCTAAAAGGCCTTTGGTGTACATTTTTATGTGATTGTCATAGGCATAAATGTTGGCAGGGTTATATGGGGGCAGGGAGTGGGGGCTTTAGAGTCAAGAAGATCTATGTTTGCATCCTGGCTTGCCCATTTATTACCTGTGTGCCTTTGAATAAGTTACAGACGTTCCCAGAGTTTCAGCCTGCTCACTGGAAAGATAGGAATGATAATATTGAATAATATTGCTGAGGTGTAAAGATGAAATGAGGTTATGTATAGAACACATTGACAGAGTATGTGGTATATAAAAGGTGCTTAAAAGCTAGTGACATTACTGTTATTTTCCTCATTTTAAGTGATTCGTTCAATATCAAATATTTGTTAAGCACCTGCTGTATTCCAAGGACTGCATTAGATCCTAGGAATACATGGTAAATTGAAAGACACTATCCCATACCTTCACACATATTACAGTCTAGTAGAAGACACAGATTAGTTTATAGTTAATTACAGTACATTGTGAAAAGTGTTGTCAGAGGGAAGAAACAATGCCTGGGATCTCAACGAGAAACACCTACTCAAACTTGGAGGCTAAAAGGATGAAGTAACTGACTCAAGGCTACACAGGTAATAAATGAAGGAGCCAAGACTAGAACCCAGGTCTTTGGAACACCAAGTCTGGTGTACTGTTCACTTTACCATGCCACCTCTGTTATTTTCAGTAAATTACGTCTGGGCAGGGTACCATTTTCCATTTAATAGCATCATCATCCATTTCAGGAGCTTCATCTGACACATGAAATACTGAAGGAAGTGAGCCCCTTAGAGGCTAAGCTTGTGAAAGATCCTAGCCTGAAGTGTAAAGTCAGATTCAGGTAATATTTCTATACTGATTTATTGCAAGAAGCACTTCGTTAAAATGAAGAAACCTTAGAAATTTATATTCTTAAGTCCTCATAAGTTCTCAGGGTATAATTACAGAGTAAGTGTGTTGTTCTTATTTACATTTATTATGCGGAGAAACAGAGGCTTGACTCTTGGCCAGAAGTTGCCTTGAGAGCGGCCCAGCTTCCATGATGTGTCCAGTGTGACACACGAATGAGAATAGTTGTGGGCGCACACACCGAAGTGTGGCTTTTTCATCTTGGTAATCCATTCCGTTACCTGTTCTTTCTGTGCTCTGGTGTAGCCTTTACCCCGCATGCAGGAAACTATGGGAGCTATATCTTAGGTACACGGAGGAGAAGTAACTAAGCCCCCAGCCTGATGCCAGATGACTAATTTTTGGTCTTTATTTCAGATTTAGTGGTGAAACATTTCCACCTGTCATCGTATTTAAAATTTTTCTCCATACCGAAGGCCATGGTTACAAGTATTTCAGTGGAAAAAAGTTCTTAAAGCCATCAAGTGAGGTGATGTTTCATGATGTACATTTTATGTTACTTTAGCTTCTTAACATCTGTGTAGCATCTGAATTGCACTTGAAATGTACAGACTAAGTTATTTCACTATTAAACAGCCCAGCAGGCGGGTAGTATTTTTTTAAGCATCATGTTTCAGAGTGTCTCTGTTTATTATCTAAAAAATATTTGGAATGAATTATTTATATATGGCTCTAAAAATACTCATCACTTTTCTTTGTATTAAAATTTTGGGGGTGCCTAGGTGGCTCAGTTAAGCGTCCGAGTTCAGCTCAGGTCATGATCTCAGGGTTCGTGGGTTTAAGCCCTGCAACACCCCAAGTTCTCGGTATATATACTGGTACATATACTGTAATTCTATCTACAGCATAGGAATCATCTGAGAATCTTGTTAAAATGTAGTTTCTGAGGTGCCTGAATGACTCCATCGGTTAAGTGTCCAACTTCGGCTCAGGTCATGATCTCATGGTTTGTAAGTTTGAGCCCTGCATTGGGCTTTCTGCTGTCAGCACAGAACCTGCTTTGAGTCCCCTGTCCCCCTCTCTCTCTGCCCCTCCCACACTTGTTCTCTCTCTCAAAATAAATACACTTAAAATATGTAGTTCTTGATTCATTAGATCTGTGACGGGACCTGTGATTCTGCATTTCTCACTGGTACCTAAGTGCGGCCACTGCGGCTGGCCCATGGACCCCACTTTTAATAACAAGGATCTGTAGTGTAGGTTTTGCTCCTTTGGCCCTTATACATGACATTAATTAAGGAACACATGTGCATTCTCATACTTAGCCTTTTATAAACTGTACATCAAAGGCTATTTTCCTGTAGGGTTCTGGAAATATTTTACATGAAAAGTATGGTCCATCTGAAATCATCAGTAATGGAATGTGTTCAGGATAGAAGACCATACAGCCTGGGAGTTTCTTTTCTTTAAATATATTTATGCATTTATTTTAAGGAAGGGGGGAGGGGCAGAGAGCGAGGGAGAGAGAGAATCCCAAGCAGGCTCCACACCATCAGCACAGAGCCCGATGCTGGACTCAAACCCACAGACTGTGAGATCACGACCTGAGCCAAAATCAAGAGGCAGACGCTTAACCAACTGAGCCGCCCAGGCGCCCCTGGGAGTTTCTGACCAGATCCGGGATGTACAGCATTTATTCTCTGAAGAATATTAGAAAGAAAAAGAGACTGCTTTTCTTTGTGTTCTCAGGCAATATCAGGGAAAATCAAATTCAGTTTCAGAATGTATCAAATGGACTATGTGGTTTCATATGGAATATTGTGTTCCAGAAACAATATTTGTTCACGTACATAGAATAACTTCAAATGCAAAAGTTGATATTTATCCTACATTCAAGGAATAAATCCATGCCACATTTATGTACAGAATAAGCGTATCGTTGTTCTTATAAAATGTCATCAGTTCTTGGTTTTCTGAGGTTACCTAATGAGACTTTTCCAGGAACTGAAAGCCTCCTGAATCTGCCCCTGGTGGCCCCTACTGTCCACAGGCTGGAGCAAATGAGAAACTTAGAGGTCGTGACTGGAAAGCACTGTGTGTATATTTAAAACTCATTAAAATGCTGTATAATAACTTCAATTTTTATTTAAATTACAAAGTAACTGTTTGAAAAAAAGGAAATAGCACAGAGATTTTTTTAAAACGAAAACTGTCTCGTGCCTTTCCTCTCTGTGCTGTGACTTTCACTTTCCTGGGGTGATCACTGTTAATAGTGTACTGTGTATCCTTTTTTTTTTTCCAAAAAAATACTTACACAAATATATTTTTAAAAATTTTTGTTCTTATTATAAAAATGTGATAGTACTATTTAGTTTGAGTTTTTCACTAAATATTCTAAGGAGATTTAAATGATCAGAACATGAGAGAACAGTTTAGAGTTCCTTTTTTCCTTTAGTTCAGCTTCATAACAAACTCTGGTAACACTTGGATACATGGTTGATAGAAAAGCTGTAGAAGTAGAATTTTTCTCCCTGTAAGTTTACTCAGGTCCTTTGAATGTAGAAATTGTGTGTTTAGCAAACTGATCCAACTTTTCTAAGTTCACTTCTTTCTCTTTTTTTAAAGATTTTATTTTATTATTTTTTAAATATTTATTTACTATTGAGAGAGAGAGAGAGCAGGAGAGCAAGCATAGGGGAGGGGCAGAGAGAGAGAAGGGAGACACAATCCAAAGCAGGCTCCAGGCTCTGAGCTGTCAGCACAGAGCCTAATGCAGGGCCCGAACTCATTGACCGTGGGATCATGACCTGAGCCAAGGTCAGACACTCAACCAATTGAGCCACCCAGGCACCTCTTAAGATTTTATTTTTAAGTAATCTCTACACCTAACATGGGGCTTGAACCCACAACCCCAAGATCAAGAGTCACATGCTCTATGAACTCAGCCAGCCAGGTGCCCCCACTTACTTCTTAATATGAAATAAATAAGTCAGTTTTAGTTCAGACATGTAATCTAAGTTCCCTTATGAAGAAGGGGAGTGTCACAGAGTTTTGCTATTGTTCTCTCTTTCCCCTAGTTGTTGTTTCCATTTCTAGTTTCATTTCCTTACCATTTCCCAATGGTATGTCTCACGTTCTCTCTCTCTCTCTCTCTCTCTCTCTCTCTCTCTCACACACACACACGCGCGCGCGCGCGCGCGTTAAAACAAGTGAAAGGATTTAGAATAGCCTAAACCACTTTAGAGAAGGACAAAGATTTACATTAGCTGATTTCAAGACTTAAAAAGCTGAAATGATCCTGACAGTGTCGTGAGGGCATAAAGAGACATGTAGATCAGTGAGATAGGGTAGAGAATTCAGAAATACACCCACCCATACATGACCAACTGATTTTCATCAGAGGTGCCGAGTCAGTTCAAATAGTGCTAGAACAATCAGATAGCCACATGGACAAAAAAGAGATCTCGCTTCAGTTACCTACTTCGATGATCTATTTTCAGGCCAATGCTTATTTTCAGAGGGTTGTCACTATAGTTCATCCTCCCAGTATATTTAGAATATTCTAAAGCCTTGCAACTCAGAGTGTGATCTACAGACCCGCAGCACTGGCATCCCTTGGAACTTATTAGAAATGTGGACTGTCAGGCCCCACCCCAGACCCACTGAATCAGCACCTGCATTTTAACAAGACCCCCCAGATGACCAGAGGCACAATGGAGTTTGACAAGCACTAAAGGTGCCCGCCGCACACACCATGGCCTGGAATGCCTCTGACTGCCTGCCAGTTCTTAAACATTAACATCCAGCAACCATTAGTTTAAACTGAAGATCCCTGTTCTTTTTGAGCATTGGGCATGTATGTAAAAAGGAAAAACATTATTATTAATATTAGGTGCCCTTATTGAGTGCTATCAAATACTATGTTAAACGTTTTGTGTGCATTATCATTTCATTGTCATAAACTCTAGAATGTACAGCCTGTTGTTATCCTCAGTTTTAAAGGACTAAGTAACTTAAAAACATCCCACATCTAGAAAGTGAAGGAACCAATATCCCAGTAATCCCGAGTCCAGAGCCTGCGCTCTTAACCACTCTTGAGTCAGGAGGCCCGCTAAGTGTGTTATCTCACACGGCCCCCTGATGACTCCGGTGAGGTGTGCCCATTCCGTCCGCGAGGAAGCTGGAACTTGCAGGGGCTTGTCAGAAGCCCAACCGAGATTCGAATACCTCTCAGTCTGTCCGCTGCCCCGTGCACACTTGGACACTGAAACAACACCAGCGGTTGTGGTGGTTTTATTAGTTCTGAGCCTTTACGTCATTGAACTGCTCCAAACCCAGACAGGCGGCTCCCGTGCAGACACCAGCTAGTGCTAGCTTCTGGAGAGAGAATTCCCAGGTGGCCGGGGAAGTGACTTGAGATAGTAGGGTAAGTTGACAAGCACAGGTGTTGATCTGGGCCAGCATGGAGCTGTAGGGCAGTGGGGGCTTCTGGGCCACAGTGATGCCAGGTATCAGAGGAGGTGTCAAATTTAGAGATGCCCCCTTTGACCTTTTGACTCACCCACTAAGAATGGAACCTGCCTCTTGAATTCTAGTCTGATTGGCTGCTGTCCTGGGCTTCTTGCTGAGTTTCCTCCCTTCCCCTTCACCTGGCGCTGGGCTCTTCTCTCCCATCCTCCCTTCCTACCCAGAAGTACTTTCCCGAATCTGGCCATAGACGGCAGATGCTTGAGAAAGAACATCCTGGCCGTTGGAGGGCAAACTTTTTTCAAACCCCTGTCGCAAGTGGGCAGTGAGCCTGCCCTGCGCTGCCAGGCATAGGGTTTTCTTGGCTGGATACTGGGCTGGGCCCGACACAGCAGAGCCACACAGCTGAGGTGCTGTGCAAATAAGGAAACTGGGGCTTGGAGGGATTGTGGGTGGTGGCTGAGTGGAGTAGAGTGGGGAGGAACTGACAAGAAGTACTCTTACTAAGTAACTCGAGCTAAAGTAAAATACGGTTATATCTAAAGAAATCCTCAAAGCAGAAATTATATGGCTTTCAGACTTGTTCACTATACATTTTATTTGCCTTTACCTCTAGTATCACTGTGAAGATGGTTAATGAGAACCCACAGGAAATTAATTGCAAGAAAGCGTAATGGAGATCTGTGCCAATACTGCCTTTTCTTTAGATGCGTAGTGTATAAAGAAACTAATGAAACAGAAAACAAAGATGATCTGCCTAAAGGAAGGTTCCATCACATAAGCTGTTTCTGTCCCTTCCGGATGGCACATTAGGACTAAAACTACAACCATTTGAATATTCTTTCCTTTCCCATACATGTCTGTGTGCTAAGCTTTGGAATTAGAAAAATAAATTAAAAAGAAATATCCTCAATAACAAAAGTGAAAATTGAAATGGGAAATACATTCGGACTCGTTGTTACATTGTGTGTTAAGTAAAGAAGAACAGAGGTTCCAAATTTCTATCCTGTCTCAGCCGGCCTCATATCTACATTATGACACAGAGTTCCCATACTTTCACAAATACACATTCTGAGATACAAAGGAAAAGAGAGACTAATCTGGAATCCAAAGATATTTGGATTTTCATCTAGGCCAGTCTCCCTTCTCATAAACATATGCTTTGTGGCAAGAAGCACAGATATGTAATATAAATATGTGTTAGAGGAGTCAGCACATACTTATGGGGGGTGGGAACAAGGATTGGGGAGTACTTGTCTCTACTCCCAGTCTATGTATAGCTCTCAGCAAAGGATGGGTGGATGTGGAAGGGTACGGTGCAAATAGGGCCGGGTGAGATTGGGACCTCCGTATTTTCCATCATTCCTCTCCCTCTGCCCTCCCAGGTGCTTTCCTTGAGTACAAAATGCTGACATTTCAGACAGAAAAAAAAAAAAAAAAAACGCTTTGCTCCTCTCTGGCCACTGAAAATGCAGTCTGAAAGAGAGGGAAGTCTAAGCAATCTGAAACGTCCCTGTTTCCATCTGGGGGTGAGGGATTAACTAACACATGAAAGAGAGGCGGCCCCAGTGACTCCTTTCAGTGCAGTTCCTAGGGCGACCTATGTAATAACCAAGGACGTTTTCTCTGCCTTGACAGCACGAAGGACGTTAGAGATTTGTTTTGTTTTTTTAAGGGAAAAGAATGTTTTTTTTTTTAAGGGGGAAGAACAGATTTTTAAAAAATGTGGTTCTCTGAGGACTGTAGACTCAGTACTGCTCCAGCTACATTTTAAAACTATGTGGACATGGTTATGGAAACAAATTTTAAGTGGTTTAAAAATTTCTATACAGTATTTTCTTTGTAAATACAGTCTTTTTATTGACCAGCAAGCTGCCAGAAGGAAAGAACAAGATTTCATGTGTTTATCAGAAGCAAGATGGGAAGTGTGCCCTGATAATTACTGCTGTTATACTACTGTTTTAAAAGTCTCTTTTCTGTTTTCTTTGTAGGCAGTGGCTGATGCTTGCAAAATGATGGGGAAAAAGAAATTTTGTCATCAAGTTATGGAAGATGAACGTTTTTTCCAGAAGTTCAAAATAACCGATGAAATTGATATTGTCACCCTGAAAGATTACATGCAAGTAAGGAATTAAGATTTAGATATTAGAAACAACAATTTTAAAAAAGCCTTCTGGCCTTGTACTCCAAGAAGAAAGGATCATACCTGTTTTTTCACTGTGGCAAGAGACACACAATATAAAATTTACCATTTTATTATCTTATCTTATTAATGTTGAGTTATTTTGAGGGAGTGCACATGAGCGAGAAAGGCGGGGAGGGGTAAAGAGAGAGGGAGAGAGAGAATCCCAAGCAGGCTCCATGCTGTCAGCACAGAGCCTGACATGGGGCTTAAACTCACAAACTATGAGATCATGACCTGAGCCAAAACCAAGAATCAGATGCCTAACTGACTGAGCCACCCAGGTGCCCCGAAGATTTACCATTTTAAATGGTACAAGTCACTGGCATTAAATACATTCATGATCTTGTGCAAACACCACCCCCCTCTAGTTCCAGAACCTTTTTGTCACCCCAAAAGGAAACTTCATAGCTACTAAGCTGTCACTCCTCACTCTTCCATCCTTCTAGCCCCTATCAACCACTGAGCTGCTTTCTGTCTCCCTGAATTTACCTATTCTGGGTAGTTTGTATTAATGGAGTCATATAATATTTGGCTTTTTATTATATGTCATATAATATTTGACATGTAATATGACATATAAATTGACATATATGACATATAACATTTGGGGAGTGATAGCTCCTGAATGTGGCCTTTCTTTTGGGGGTGACGGAAATGTTTTGTAGTTAGATGGTAGTGATACAGTGTTTATTTACTAAAAGCACTGAATTGTATACTTTAAAGTGGTTAAAATGGTGAATTTTATATTATGTGACTTTTATCTCAGCAAAAAAAGTCAAAAAGTCAAACACATGGTGCTAAAATAGTGCAAGATGAAGATGTGACCTAGTAATGAAGGGTTCTGTTATTGTTTGGATGCCGCGTGCTACAGGTAAGAGGATATTCCCAGCCACAAGAGGCTTAAACAACAAAAGACATTTATTGTCTCCTGTCAGGAGTGCGCAGATAGGTGGGTCCTGGGCCGGCTAATGCAGCAGCTCGAGGACGTCAGGGTTCTGGGTCAGCCGCCCTCCAGTGCTCTCAGTCTTCCTTCACATGGTAACAAGATGACTATCACATTCTCAACGTCCTCCAAAGGCAGGAACAAGGGGACTCCTAAGCCTCATTTTCCTTTTTATCTCAAGGAGAGAAGTCTTTGCCAGAAGCCCCCAGCAGACTTCCGCTCAGGTTCCTTTGGTCAGAACTGGATCCCCTGCTCCCCCTAAACTAATCACTGATAAAGGGACCCGGGAGCCTCTTCCATGACTGACTTCAAACAGTCACGGTTCATATGCTGGGGCCCTCCTTCCTGGAACATATTACTGCCCCATACTTGAAAAACAACACAGGGCTCTGGAGGCAAGGGAGAAGTGGGAAATGGTGGACGGGCAGGCAGTCAACAATGTGTCACGGCCTCAGTCTGGGGCCGAGCAGGTGTTGCGCCCCAGGCAGAGCCTCTGTAGCCGGAAGAACCACAGGGCCTGAGAGCAGGTCTGTCGGGCTGGAGAAGAGAGAGCAGAGACTTTGGCGTGTCGGCGGCCTGGAGGGCTGGTAAGAGAGCTTCAGGAGGCCCTTTGGACCAGAGTGAGGTGTCTTTCTTTTTCTTGATCCTGTGTGCAACCAGAAGCTGGTGCAGTGTGTTAAGAAACAAGGTGATCTAATCTGGTAAGGGAAGAGATCCGTGTGGCTGCAGCACAGAGGATGGATTCGAGGACAGCAAGAGCTTCCTCCAAGTTTGGATGCTCCTGCTGTATTTCAGGGGAGATGGTGGTATCTTGGTGGAGGGCGGTGAGGCTAGAGCCACAAGAGATAATTAGAGAAGAAAATGAGTGGGGCCTTGGTGACAGGAAGGCGAGCTAAGGGAGGGTGTCCAGCATGGCTCCTCGGTTTCTGGTTTGCATAACAGGTTGGACAGCATTGCTAAATCAGGGAACTTAAATGAGATACCTAAATAATAATAATAATAATAATAATAATAATAATAATAATAATAGCAAATGCTAATGCAATACCAACTCCTTTTGTTCTCATAACAATCCTAAGAGGTAGGTACTATTATTACCGCCACTTTTTACAAGTCCTAAAGAAACAAGGGATCCCAAAATTCTAGCTCATAATAACTATTCACTCAGTTGCATCAGTATCACACATGAAATTACTGCAGTGCCTTAAAGACTCCCAGTCATGTTTTCTTTCCTTCAGAGCCTTAACCTGGAAAATGAGAGAATTGAACCAGGAAATAAGTAGCGCTTGGGGATGCCAACTGTCTTTGCTAAGGACATGGGTCACATACTTGCAGACTGTGGCTATGCCAAGGATTGGTGTCATAGAAAGAAGTCCCCAGATAGACATATTGGGAGAGAGAGAAGTGATGATTACTGACATTTATTGAGCTCTTTATGGACACAGCCCTGTTTTTAGCTCTTTATTTGCATATTATCTCCTTCAATCTTCAATTCTGTAAATTATGTGACCCTTTAACAGATGAGAAAAATGGAGTTTAATAAGATTTTTAAAAACTTGCCCAAGGTCACATAGCTAAGTTCAGAGTAGGTCATTGACGGTTCTGAGATGTTTACCCATTTTACTACTACACTGTCAGCAAGGAAAGCATACAGACAGTGCTCCCTTCTCACGGTAGTGCAGGGCCCTAAAAACGACCATGCATGGGTGCCTGGCTGGCTCAGTCAGTGGAGTGTGCAGGTCTTGATCTCAGGGTTGTATGTTCAATCCCCATATTGGGTATAGAAATTGCTTAAAAATAAAATCTTTAAAAAAAAAAAAAAAGACCGTGCAAGCTGAAACCGTGCAAAGCAAATTTAATAATCAATGGTAAAAAAAATCATGATTGTTTCATGCCTTTAAAAAAAATCTTGTCAAAACATTAAAAACTCTCTTGCTATTTGTTATATAGGAAAATGGGGAGAAAAGCAAAACATTTACCACACTATAATTTAAAACATTAGGAACACTGAGGATCAAAAGTGTTTTATATGTTTGTGAAAAACATATCAACTGTAAATATACTAAAAACCATTGAGTTGTACACTTTACATGGGTGCATTATGTGGGATGTGAATGCCAATAAAGCTTTAAAAAACAGTTTATCGGGAGTAGTTTCAACAGTGTTTGCCTTCTTGTTCTTCTCATGTAACTTACGATATGTAGTGAGCGTTTCTTCTATGCCTCAGTGAATCATCCTGCTCCTTTTCTTTTTTTGATAGAATTTATTGTCAAATTTATTGGGAGGAACACCCAGTACTCATCCCAACAAGTGCCCTCCTCCATGCCCATCACCCACTTTCCCATCTCCCCACCCCCATCAATCCTAAATTTAGATTACCTACCAACATTATATCCTTTGCACTTTATTTAAAAAATTTTTATGTTTATGGCAATGAGAAAGAATGAAATCTGGCCATGTGTAGCAACGTGGATGGAACTTGAGGGTGTTATGCTGAGCGAAATAAGTCAGGCAGAGAAGGACAGATACCATATGTTTGCACATATAGGAGGATTAGGAGGAACTTAACAGAGGACTGTGGGGAGAAGAAGGGGAAAAATACTGGGGTAGAGGGAGGGAAGCAAACCATGAGAGACTCTTGAATGCCAAGAACAAACTGAGGGCTGATGGGGAGGGGAGGGGAAGGGAGGGTGATGGGCACGAAGGAGGGCATTTGTGGGGATGAGCACTGAGTGTTATATGGAAACCAACTTGACAATAAACTATTTAAAAATTTTTTATGTTTATTTCTTTATTTTGAGAAAGAGAGAGCGAGTGAGGTAGGAGCAGAGAGAGAGGGAGAGAGAGAGAATCCCAAGTGGGCTCCACACTGTCAGTGCTCAGCCTGACTCAGGGCTTGATTATGATCTGAGCTGGAATCAAGAGGTGGATGCTCGAGGTGCCTGAGTGGCTCAGTCAGTTAAGCGTTGCACTTCGGCTCAGGTCATGATCTCATGGTTCGTGGGTTCAAGCCTCGCATTGGTCTCTGTGCTGACGGCTAGCTCAGAGCCTGGAGCCTGTTTCAGATTCTGTATCTCCCTCTCTCTCATACCCTCCCCTGCTCACGCTGTCTCTCCCTCCCAATCGCTCTCTCTCTCTCAGAAATAAGTAAAACATTAAAAAAAAGTTTTTAAAAAGAGTTGGATGATCAACCGACTGAGCCCCCCAGGTGCCCCTATCCTTTGCACTTCAAATGTTGTGAAATCTCTCAAAGTTCCTGTACTGTGAAGTATCTTTTTTGTCAGCGTCACTTCCTCTGAGACAGCTTCATCCTTGTTGTCACAACCACTTTCCTCATTTATGCTGGTAAGTTCACCTTCACCGAGTTCCTCTATCTGCCCATCAACAAGCTCTTGAATGACGGCAGTGTCACTATCCCCTTGGTCACCTATTTCTTCTAGAACTTCATTCACATTTCCAACATTATCGCTTTTTGTTTCTCTGCTGGCTTGTTCTTTTGATTATCCTTTTTGTTTGTTTGCTTTTTGTTTTTTGGTAAATGTCACGTGCGCTTATCACTGGGAGACAAAGAGGTGATGCAACTACATACTTTGCTGTGTGTGTGTGAAGTGAATAAAGCAGATCCAGATAAACCAATCACTGACACACTTTGGAAGAAGGGACCTGACTTGTCACTAATCACCATGCACCTCTATTATTCATGTAGTCGTCTATGGACTGAAGAGCTCTCAGCAAAGTTTGCATTTTATACTATTACTAAGTTATACTGTGGAAACTGAAATGGAAAACTGTTGTTGGAGGATTGGGCTTATTCAATCGAATAGTAGTGATGAAAATTTGTACCTGCCTAAATAATCAAAAGAAAAACTGCTTGTGTGTGTGTGCATGTGTGTGTGTGTGTGTTTGTGTGTGTGTGTGTGTGTGATATCCCCTAAATGCCTACCTGATATTCTCTTTCCCAGAATTGTAGACCCTCTGACCCTATTCCTTTTATTTATTTATTTCAAGTTGTTTTTAAGTTTTAAATTTATTTTTGAGAAAGAGTGTGAGTGCACAAGTCAGGAAGGGGCAGGAGGTGTGGACAGAAGATCTGAAGTAGGCTAGCTACACTGACAGCAGAGGGCCAGATGCGGAGCTCAAACCCACGAACCACAAGATCATGACCTGAGCCGAAGTCAGACAATTAACCAAATGAGCCACCCAGGTGCCCCTGGCCCTATTTTTATTTTTTTTAAATGTTTATTTATTTTGAGAGACAGAAACAGACAGAGTGCCAGCAGGGAAGGGGCAGAGAGAGAGGGAGACACAGAATGTGAAGCAGGCTCTAGGCTCTGAGCTGTCAGCACAGAGCCCAACGCGGGGCTCGAACCCACGAGCAGTGAGATCATGACCTGAGCTGAAGTCCAACGCTCAACCGACTGAGCCACCCAATCTCCCCTCTATTTTTATTTCTTAAATGAACATTTTATAAGGTTGAATTGATTATATGTATTTGCATTTTAACTTGTAATATAAATTCAGAAAATAAATAAAAGTGGGTTATCTATGAATACTACAAATGAAAATAGTGAAATTTACCACTTAGTACCAGAGATGAACTCATTATTTCTAAGAAGGCTTATGCCAGTGTCCTCTCAACCAAGCATGCTAGGAACAAGTACCACGAGGTATGCAGATCATACATTTGCCATTAAAATATAACTCAGCCGGTTAGGCGTCCGTCTTCGGCTCAGGTCATGATCTCACGATCTATGAGTTGGAGCCCCGCTTTGTGCTCTGTGCTGAAAGCTCAGAGCCTGGAGCCTGCTTCACATTCTGTGCCTCCCTCTCTCTCTCTTTGCCCCTCCCCTGCTCTCTCTCTCTGTCTCTCAAATATAAAAAAAACAAAAAAAATTTTAATGTTTATTCATTAGATAAAGATTTCATGAGTGTGGTACTGTGTACGTGATACTGTGTGACAAAGACCCTGCCTTCTGGGGAGGCGGGGCTGGGGGGGCAAGTGCCCAGATAGCTAAAACATAAAGTAGTCAGTAGGAAGCCATAGAAGAAAGTTGCCGATAACGTTCAGGGTTGGGATCAAGGAATGCTTTTTGAATGAAGTCACATTGGACATTTGAATCTTTAGAAATGTGTCTAAAAACATTCTAGAGTCCCCGTAACCAATGATTCTTCCCTATTTTTTCCATATAGTACTCCAGTCTTCTGGACGAGACCCCTGCATTTTATGGTGGCAGAAATAACTGCTGGCGAAAATTAAACCTCAAAAACATCCCCAGGACAATGATAATATATGACATAGTTCATTATGCAGAGTCTGGAATAATCTCAAACCGTCTACAAAAAGAAATGAAGTATCTATTACAGAAGCCACAGACAGAAGAGATGCATGAGCACCAGCTACAAATTGTTTCTGAAGTTAGGTAAAAGTGGGGCGCCTGGGTGGCTTAGTCGGTTAAGCGTCCGACTTTCGCTTAGGTCATGATCTCGCGGTTCATGGGTTCGAGCCCCGCGTCGGGCTCTATGCTGACTGCCAGCTCAGAGCCTGGAGCCTGTTTCAGTCCGTGACTCCCTCTCTCTCTGACCCTCCCCTCCTCACGCTGTGTCTCTCTCTCTCTCTAGAAATAAAAAAAAAAAAAATGAAGTTAGGTAAAAGTGACATTTTACCGGGTTGCAACACTAGGAGCATTTCTGAAAATGTTCACGTTCTGCCAAATAGCTCATGAAAGATAATAATAGAGCATATGGGAGAAACAGGGTTGGGCCAGATTGCTCAAAACTTATGCATCTTTGTAAACAGAACACTAACAAAAAGGACAATTGGAACCTGGGGAGATAACTTGTACCACCAGACAGGCAGTTCAGGATGGCTGGAGGCCATCACGGAAAACATGAAACATGTACAACAATCGAGTGGAAATGCTGGCGTCTCTTTAATTAGAGCAGATAGTGGGCGCGGAGCTAATGCAGATGGAAGTGCGGCCCTGGGCTAGTGCAGGTTGCCTTGTAAGGGGACTCGAGAGTCTGAGAGTCCGTGCAACCTGCCAATAACCAACCTCCCCTCCCCCAAGGCGGGAAGTATGGTGGCGGGGCCCTAAGGCTGAGGAGTGCCTCTGTGGGGAGGGAGTCTTAGAGGCAGGTGCTAATTCTCGTTTTCCTAAATATGTTGCCTGTGCCTCACAGAGCTGGGGACCTTCTTTCCTTTTCTGCCGAAGGTTATAATTCTACTCTTGCTATCCTGGCTCTCCTTTTTGAAGACAAATTGCATGTAAATTACAGTGACATTATTCCCTTCTTTAGCAATAGCATGTGAGCCAATTCACATCATAGAAACTCATGTTGTAGCAGAATAGACTGTATTATGATCTGAAACAGTATGCACAGAATATGACTGTTCTCATTATATTCCTTTTTTCTTTCTGTTACAAGTCTCACCTAGCCCATCTTATTTACAAATGAAGCTTGCTTTCTTAAGAAAAAGAAAAAGATAATCAGATTGAAGAGGATATATTGGTAGTCGATTTCCACAGAGTCACTTGAAATGAAAAACTACTCTGTTAGTACACGAAGAAGACACTGGTGACCCAGGATCAGGCAAACACTCTGCTTTTTTTCAGGGCTAGAGATGAGTGGTGCTGACCCAATAATATAATTTAGCTCATGTATTTTATGATCAAAGCTATACATTTGCCAGACAGATGGCCTGGTGTAGGGTGCAGTCTGTCATCATGAAATAGATTTTCTCTAACTCATCCATAAACGCACTGAATATAGAACTTAACCCTATTACCACCAAGGTCAAATAAATGATGTAATTTTCTCTGCCACAATGTATAACCCTAAGCTCCTTGCTATTTGAACTCTTGCTACTGATCTTCTAAGAATGAATCACTGGAAGAGCCAAATTAAGTAGCCAAATTCTAAATCAATTAAAGAGGGAAAAGTACTTTCTTACAGGTTTCTATGAATGCATTATTAAATTGGGATCTCCTGGGAGATCACATATTTGAGTATGAGTAGTTTATTTGGGAGGTGATCCTCAGAACCATCAAGGAAAGGGACACAGGGAGGGGTAGGCTGCCTAAACAGTGTGTGTTAGCAAGCGAGTTATCTCTGCGGGTAAGTCGAGTTTCATCCCTCCTGGGACTGTCCAAGCCATTGTAGAACACGATACTCAACTTATCCTGCGGGGGCAAGGGAGTTGGGATATTTATACACCAATGCCCAGCAGTCATTGGCTAAACACTGCTTAGGAGAAGAGCTATTAATTCTTGTGCACTTTCTCCACACATGGGCTCTTGTTTTCACAAGCAAGCTCCCAGGCTGAGTGAGGTCGATGCTGTCAGTTGGGCATTGGGCCTGTGTGCTTTCCAGTGGTAAGGCCGAGGCCAGGGCACCACCTGTATCTGATCCCAACACTCATAAAAACAGCTTGTTTTTTCAGCCATTATGAAATGTACTCGTTTTTTGTATTAGTATATGCTATATTAAAAAATTATTCAAGTGGCTACTACACAGTGTTTTCCAGGAAAACTGATTTTAAATTGATACCATGTTTTATAATTTTCATCATCATTGTGGTCTGCATCCTCATTTATACAACCTTCATAGGTGGCAGATAAAGAACTATGCTCTGAAATTTAAGCAGAAATGATAACTTTGGCCTAAAAAGTTACATGCAATACTGCTCCAAAAACTGAAGTCTATGATAAATTTGCTAGAAGATGCTTTGATAAAATAGGGAACTTGCTTTACATTTAAATGTTCTTTTGTGCATTTTTTTCTGTCTATAATACAAATCTTTTCTAGATGCCCTACATCCTTTCCAACTATCCAACCTTTGTATCGGCCCTACCGACAACAGAGTCAAATTAAGCATCTGGGTCGTCGATCCAAGCAAGCTCAAATGAAAGTTGAAAAAATGAAAAAAGCATATAAGATGGCTAAAGAAAAAAATGCTTCTGTGGGGACTGTAAGTTAAACTTGTACTGAATTCATTGTTCAAACTGTAAGTAATTCTACTTCTATAAGTAGAATTTTCCTAACCTCCAAGTTCAAGGTTGAAAGACCCTTGGTATCTTACTTAGATAGTCTAAAGCTATGTTCCTCTTGGTGCCACATGTTTTAAAAATTCTTAAACAATAGAGCTAACCTGACAAATACCAGCTGTTTGGGCTCCGCATCAGTATGAGGTGCCAAACGACAACAACAGCAACGAAAAATTGTCGTCTCTGTACATTGACACTGTCAATTCAGCACGACACTGTTCAAAACAAAAGCCATTACTATCTAAACTTATAAAAGCTATATGTGTAAAGTCACCCTCAGTACATTCCCTTGACAACTAACATGTGTTGATGTATTACTTTGTAATTTTTAAAGAATCTACTCTAAGTTTTTTACGATGAGGCTAAGTATAAAGAGTCACTATGAAAACAAAGTAGTAAAAACCAAAATTTTTTTTCACTTTTATTTATAATTCTGCCTAGGACCCACAGACAGATACACCACGTACAAAGCAAAAACAGTCAGTCATCTCCTCCCCATCTTTTGACGTCGTGAAAGCTGAACCCATGTCAGATGAGGAATTGAAAAAGGAAGAAAAGGAATTATTTGCCTGGTGTCAAGAGTTGTGTATTAATAGTTCTCCATCATATTAATGCACAGCTAAATGATAGAAACCCAAATTATTTAACAGTGTGCTTGTCCTGCTAATATGAGTATTAAAAGGACATTGAAATCTCAACAAGCTCTTGGGATGCTCTCTTAACCAACTGTGTGACTGATTTTTAAGCTCTTTTTGTATTAGCATAAGTATAAATATTTTTTTACTGACAAAATTTTAATCTGAAAAAATTAGTTCTTTTTAAGTATGATTTATTGTCAGATTGGCTTACATACAACACCCAGTGCTCATCCCAACAAGTGCCCTCCTCCATGCCCATCACCCATTTCCCCCTCCCCCCCCTTGTCCACCCTCAGTTTGCTCTCTGTATTTTAGAGTCTTGTTGTGGTTTGCCTTCCTCCCTCTCTGTTTGTAACTATTTTTTTTCACTTCCCTTCCCCCGTGGTCTTCTGTTAAGTTTCTCAGGATCCACATATGACTGAAAACATGATATCTGTCCTTCTCTGACTGACTTATTTCACTCAGCATAATACCTTCCACTTCCATCCTCGTTGCTGCAAATGGCATCATTTCATTCTTTCTCATTGCCAAGTAGAATTCCGTTGTATATATGAACCACATCTTCATTATCCACTCATCAGTTGGTGGATATTTAGGTCTTTCCATAGTTTGGCTATTGTTGAAAACGCTATGAACATTGGGGTAAATGTGGCCCCTATGATCAGCACTCCTGGATCCCTTGGGTAAATTCCTAGTAATGCTATTGCTGGGTCACAGAGGAGTTCTATTTTTATTTTTTTTTATTTTTTTTTTCTTTATAGCTATCCACTTTATTTTATTTTTTTTCTTTATAGCTATCCACTTTATTTATTTTTTTTTTACAAATAGTTTATTGTCAAATTAGTTTCCACATAACACCCAGTGCTCATCCCCACAAGTGCCCTCCTCCATGCCCATCCCCCCCTCCCCCCCACATCCATCAGTCCTCAGTTTTTGTCAGCATTCAAGAGTCTCTCATGGTTTGCCTCTCTCCCTTTCCCCCACCATTTCCGCCCTTCTTCTCCCCCTTGTTCCTCCGTCAAGTTCCTCCTAATCCTCCTATACGTGCAAACATATGATATTTGTCCTTCTCTGCCTGACTTATTTCGCTCAGCATAACACCCTCAAGGTCCATCCATGTTGCTACACATGGCCAGATTTCATTGTTTCTCATTGCCATGTAGTATTCCATGGTATAGATAAACCACATCTTCTTGATCCATTCATCTGTTGATGGACACTTAGGCTCTTTCCATGTTTTAGCTATTGTGGAGAGTGCTGCTATGAACATTGGGGTACATGTGCTCCTATGCGGAGTTCTATTTTTAATTTTTTGAGGAACCTCCACACTGTTTTCCAGAGGGGCTGCACCAGTTTGCATTCCCACCAGCAGTGCAGGAGGGTGCCCGTTTCTCCACATCCTCACCAGCATCTATAGTCTCATGATTTGTTCATTGTAGTCACTCTAAATGGCATGAGGTGATATCTTAGTGTGGTTTTGATTTGTATTTCCCTGATGATGAGTGACGCTGAGCATCGTTTCATGTGTCTACTGGCCATCTGGTTGTCTTCTTTGGAAAAGTGTCTATTCACGTCTTCTGTCCATTTCTTCACTGGATATTTTGTTTTTCAGGTGTTGAGTTTGGTAACTTCTTTATAGATTTTGAATACTAACCCTTTATCTGATTTGTCATTTGCAAGTATCTTCTCCCATTCTGTCAGCTGCCTTTTAGTTTTGCTCATTGTTTCCTTTTCAGTGCAGAAACTTAATCTTGATGAGGCCCCAATAGTTCGTTTTTGCTTTTAGTTCCCTTACCTTTGTAGATGTGTCAAGCAAGAAATTGCTGCGGCTGAGGTCAGAGGTTGTTGCCTGATTTCTCCTCTAGGGTTTTGAGGGTTCCCTGTCTCACATTCAGGTTCTTTATCCATTTTGAGTTTATTTTTGTATATGGTATAAGAAAGTGGACTGCAGGGCTGGTTCAATATTTGCAAATCAATCAATGTGATACATCACATTAATAAAAGAAAGGACAAGAACCACATGATCCTATCAATAGATGCAGAAAAAGTATTTGACAAAATACAGTATCCTTTCTTAATAAAAACCCTTGAGAAAGTTGGGATACAAGGAACATACTTAAACATCATAAAAGCCATATATGAAAAACCCACAGCTAATATCCTCAATGGGGAAAAGCAGAGATTTCCCCCTGAGATCAGGAACACGACAGGGATGTTCATGCCCACCACTCTTGTATAACATAGTGCTGGAAGTCCTAGCCTCAGCAATCAGACAACAAAATGAAATAAAAGGCATCCAAATTGGCAAAGAAGAAGTCAAACTTTCACTTTTTTCAGACAACATGATACTCTACATGGAAAACCTGAAAGACTCCCCACCAAAAGATTGCTAGAACAGATACATGAATTCAGCAAAGTCGTAGGTACGAAATCAATGTACAGAAATCAGTTGCATTGTTATACACCAATAATGAAACAACAGACAGAGAATTAAAGAAACTGATCCCACTTACAACTGCACCAAGAACCATAAAATACCTAGGAATAAATCTAACCAAAGGTGTAAAAGACCTGTATGCTAAAAATTATAGAAAGCTTCTGAAGGAAATTGAAAAAGACACAAAGAAATAGAAAAACATTCCATGCTCATGGATCAGAAGAATAAATATTGTTAAAATATCTATACTACCCAAAGCAATCTACACATTCAATGCAATCCCAATCAAAATTGCACCGCCATTCTTCTCAAAGCTAGAACAAACAATCCTAAAATTTGTATGGAACCACAAAAGACCCTGAATACCCAAAGTAATATTGAAGAAGAAAACCACAATGGGAGGCATCACCATCCGAGACTTTAGCCTCTACTACAAAGCTGTCATCATGAAGACAGTATGGTATTGGCACAAAAACAGACACACAGACCAGCGAAATAGAATAGAGAACCCAGAACTGGACCCACAAATGTATGGCCAACTATCTTTGACAAAGCAGGAAAGAGTATCCAATGGAAAAAAGACGGTCTCTTTAACAAATGGTGCTGGAAGAACTGGACAGCAACATGCAGAAGAATGAATAAATTATTTCTAGTAGGTGCCCTCAAACTAGCTGTATACAGTTTGAGTCAAGAAATGGTGTGCAAATTAGTCCCTGGAACTTTTATTCAATTTTGATTTTCCTTCATTTTTGAAAAACATCTGAACAGGCCATGCTTAGCATAAATATCAGAATTCACAGAATACAATGCTACTCTTGAGTCAGTTTCCAGTTCCTTTTTTTATAAAACTGGCATGTCGTTTTCACAGAGCACCTGGTGAATGACCTATTCTAAATTATAATAAAAATAATAATGAATTTGTTGCTACAGTAGGCATGACATAGCATACCTCATCATTATCCAGGATTGTGAGGACCCGGGCAGAATGTTGTGTCTGCTTTAATGTTGTATTTCAATATTTTTCAAATATAAAAATTGTTTTAGGGAATATTCATCAATTTCCTTTTGAATTGATAATCTTGTTCTTGAGAGAGTATAAATTATTGATACTTTTTGTGATCTAGGCTATTGGATTATATCAAACCTTACCAGCAGCTATGATAATTAAACAAAGTGCAATCTTTATTGAATTTTAAAAACACAATTTTTTATTTTGTTTAAAATTTAAAATGTGGAGGTCAACTGCTGATTTAACTCAGGCAAAACAGCCCATAAATGGATCTCATTTGCTTTTAAAACATTCTCTCTCTTAAAAAAATTTTTTTAATGTTTATTTATTTTTGAGAGAGAGAGGCAAAGAGCAAGCAGGCGAGGGGCAGAGAGAGAGAGAGGGAGACACAGAATCCGAAGCAGTCTGACACAGAGCCCAAATCCATGAACCGTGAAATCATGACCTGAGCCAAAATTGGATGCTTAATGGATGAGCCACCCAGGGGCCCCATAAGCATTTCCTCTTTTTTTTATGTTTATTTATTTATTTTGAGAGAGAGACAGAGCACAAGATGGAACTGGCAGAGAGAGAGTGTGTGAGAGAGAGTCCCAAGCAGGCTCCATGCTGTCAGTGCAGAGCCTGATGTGGGGCTCGAACTCAAAAACCGTGGTATCATGACTTGAACCAAAATCAAGAGTCAGAGGCTTAATTGACTGAGCCAACCAGGCGCCCCTGTGAAAGATTCTCTTAAATGAGGCGCCTGGGTGGCTTAGTCGGTTAAGCGTCCAACTTTTGCTTAGGTCATGATCTCGCGGTTCGTGGGTTCGAGCCCCGCGTCGGCCTCTGTGCTGACTGCCAGCTCAGAGC